ACCTTCTAAGCCACTCCCAATACTCAGACCTCTTAATGAGTGCTTCCTCTCTCCAACAGGCATATGGTTAGGGAAGAGGGCAAATCATTATGGTGGCCCTTTCCAGTTATCAGATCTAAGGATAATAGAAAAAAAAAAACCCAATTCTTAAACGAGCTGTACTGATTGCCCTGACAAATACATTCACAACCCTTATCTCTGCTGTCCAAACCTTTCAACTACATGAAAAGGATATTATGCTTCTACTAGGACCAGACTCTTATCTCATTAGAGAAGCAATGGGTTTCTGGCCTCACGGCCACTTCATGGTTGGAAATGATTTATGTCGTTCAGGCGAGTAGAGTGCCCTCCTTTACAAGCCTAAAGTCCTTTAAGTTCAAGCCTCCAGCCCAGTACAGCCAAAGTAAAATAATAATAATAATAATATTTTGGGCTGTGGAGCTAGCTCAATGGAGAATGTCTGCCCAGCATGTGCAAAGCCTGGTTCAATTCCCCAGCATTACTAAAAAAAAAAAAAATGGTAAAGAAGATAAGTGGCATAATGTCACTTCAGCCATCTCATAGTAGAAAAATGTATTTAACCTAGACCAGATCCTCATTCTTTCAAGTGAGGAAACTGAGGCCCAGAACAGTTCAGAGACTTGCTCTCCAGAGTGCAGTGTGTCAGAGAGTCATGTAAATAAAACAACTTTTACTTTACAGCAAAACTTAAAAAGAAAAAAAAATCTCTTACCTGTTCTACAGCATCTTAAGGAGCTATCAGAAAGGCATACCACATGGACTCAGAGTCACAGGTGAGAGGTTCTCCTCAAAGATAAATTTCTAACAGTCAGCCCCAGATATTCATAAAAAACTCAGGACTGTGGCGGAAGGGAAAAGTCATTGAACCCAAGTAATACAGCTGGCAGCCATGTCTGTATTTATGGCTTATGTCTGTATGTCAGGGGACCTTACTAACAGGAGAGAAAAAGATTAAGAGACACCATGGCCTCATTTGCTGCTCTCAGGAGGGGCCCCACCCAACTAGGGCCTGTATCCTGAAACTTACTACCTGGTGGACAGGAGGGGCAACTTCTGCAGAGAATGCTTAAAGGGGGACAGCCCAGGAGACAGCCCCTGCCCCCAACCGTGGACCCTGCCCCTGCAAGGTAACCACTGGAGTCTAAGTGCCCCGTCACCAGATGGGAACGCAGGTGCCTCCTCCTATGGATTGATGGGTCCAAGCCTCCTGTCCCACTCCACTCTTGGATCAATGTTAGGAGCCATAATGGCAGAAAAAACAAAAGGTCATTTTCCTCCTAGACAGTGGAGTGTCTCTCTGTTTTACCTTTTTCTCCTGGTCCCGGTCCAATGACAAAAAGTTATCATTCAGGGCAAATCTGGCAGCCCCTAGAGCTAGTTTACCTGCCTCTGGCCTGTCTTGGGAGAGACCTCCTTTCTGTCACTCTTTCCCTCATAGTACCTGAACTCCAGTGTCCCTGCTGGGACAGGATTTACTATCTCAAAAAGCTCAAATTCTCCTCCCCCAGGCAGCTATCTCTGCTGCCCCCTCTTCAGGAACAAAGAAGATTCCACATGTGGACTGATGAGATGAGTAAGGGTGAGCCAGGACGGGCCCTCCCTATTCAAATAAAACTCAAAAATCCCTCACAGTTTCCACACCCAAAACAATATCCCCTCAAGCCTGAGGGATGATGAGGCCTTATGCCTATTCCTAAAAACAATAAGGGCTACTAATTAGTTGCTCCAGCCCCTAAATAAATTTAAAATTCTTATAAAAGTTAATTAATTTTAAATACAAGTTTACAAAGTAAACAACTGGAAAGGATATAGATAGGTAATAAATGTTTTTTTGAGAAGTTAAGGAAAAAAAGGAGATGGTTTTTGGATGAGAAAGGGATTTGTGAAAGAAGGGTTGTATCCTTGTTTCAAATAGGAAGGATTAAACAAGCCATCAAAGGGTTTAGTATGTGTTATGAAGTCTGAATAAGTTTTAAAAGTGTATAATAAAAAAACTTCATGTGTGATAAAGTTAAAGTTGAATATAATCTAAGAGTTGCCTAAAAGATTTTTAGGGGTCATGTCAAAACTAAAATCAAATCCTCTATGTCTATGAAATAACAAGGTTATCTTAATATTGTTCTGCTCTGAGTAACATCTACAAAAAACCATTACAGAGAGAAGATTTTATCAAAGAAATTATTTGTGTTTTCTGCTGATCTTGTCAAGCTTAAGTACTACTAAAATCAGAGTTCATTTACATATTTGCTTATGTGTCTTAAATGACCACCTTGTAACAGTGTTATGTTATACTTTATCTAAATATGGTACAAACATTTAAAAAGTTAAAAGTGTCAATTTATATAAAATAATGAGCTAAAGCTCTCTTTTATCCAAGAGTGTTACATTTAAATCCTGACAGCCCCTGCCTCCCACAGGGCACCTACCTAGGTGTGGCCTTAAAGGGACAGACTCACTCCCTGAGTCATAAATGCATCACCCCAATCTTCTGCTTCCCAACCCCCATACCATAAGACAGCTTACAGCTTTCCTGGCAGTTATAGGATTTTGCAGAATTTAATCCCTAGTAGGTAGAGTCCCTTGACAGACACCTTTTTATGCTCCTCCTAATTTCCTATTTGGGTCTTAGATATATATGGCCACCCACCTTTCTCTCTCTGGTAGTTGGAGGACTCTTGAAATCGTCTAGGGAAGAACATTTCACAGTGGTTCTCCTGGCCAATGCCCATCCTAATGCCTATTGTTCTTGCTCTCCTATTCTTAAGCTTCCTCTCTTGTGTCATACTACATGTCTGCTACTGCTAATCAAAAAATTTAACCACTTGTACCTCCAGGGATACCACCTTCCAAAACGCCGAGGAGAGTTGGTCTGGTATACCCACCATGCAGAAGTCGGAGGATTGGCGTTGAGACTCTTTTACGACCTATTGGCGGCTACAAAGGCACTTCATCAACTCAGGGAAAGTAGGAATCTTCATTTTGGAGCGCTGGGTATATGCCATCAATGCAGGCGCAGCACTCCCCAACAGTTTGCCAAGACTACCCTCCCTTCCCCTACGCCGCCCTTGCCAGCTCAAAAGAAGCCAGAGCGAACACAACGCCCCCCTTCCTTAACAAAAAAAAAAAGGGAGGGAATGTTGGCAATAATGGCACCGATAGGTTTCAGTTCTTACTGCACACTTAAGCTTCTGTTTTCCAGGGTCACGGTCCTGCCTCAAGTCTAGCTTGAATCCTCCTTCTGCCCCAACCTCCAATCAGCATGAACCATAAATTCCTAACCAATCAGATCATGCTGCACAGTCCCCACTGAGGTGGGTACTTAAGCCCCTGCCCTTCCTGCGTTCTCCTCTTTTGGCTCTCTCTTGGCTCTCTCCCTCTCCCACCTGGCAATAAAGAATCTCTTGGCCAGATCACTCCTCTCCATGTGGTCACTTTGGGGCCCACATTTCCAACACCTTACACCTCACAACTGGAGACTGTTCCAGGGACAATGCAAAAAAGTATGTATTATACTTTTTTGGCAGTACTTGGATTTCAACACAGCACTTTGTACTTGCTAGGTAGGTACAGGTACTCTACCACTTAAGACACACCTCCAGTCCACTGTCAGCATATTAATATTTAGGACAGTATAAACATTACAATTCAACTCATTGTAGTATTTGTAAGCTATAATTAAAGTTTAAAATCTATGTAAGAATATGCAAGTATAGAAATATCACAAAGAAAACCCTTCGTACAATTAACATACATTAATTTAAAAAGAAAAAAATCTATGCAAGAAAGTACAAAATTGTGTGCACTGAAGAAAACACAAACTTACTGATATGGTTTTCTAGTCCTGCTTCTAATTTCTTAAGCCACAATGCAAGGTTGTGCTCAGTTACAGACTGGTCTGAAGGAAATGCAAATACTTGGCCATCTGAATGCAGATTCACCAAAACAATAGCAGGAAGGGGAGGCAGAGGGCCAAAATATGCCTGCAAGACTCCTCTCCCCACAGGGGTATTCTTTCTGCAAGAAGGAAGAATGGAATATGCTAATTATTCTTTCTGTAACAAAAACATTAAAATAGTACTTTATAGAAGATTAAACTTTAATGATCATGCCAGTAAGACACCTAAAAAATTAGCTAGCATTTGTTGCCCTCAACGCAGAGAAACTAAAGCAGATACCTTAAAAGCAACTGAGGCCAATAGGAGAAGGGGACCAGGAACTAGAGAAAAGGTTAAATCAAAAAGAATTAACCTAGAAGGTAACACACATGCACAGGAAAGTAATGTGAGTCAACTCCTTGTATAGCTATCCTTATCTCAACCAGTAAAAACCCTTGTTCCTTCCTATTATTGCTTATACTCTCTCTTCAACAAAATTAGAGATAAGGGCAAAATAGTTTCTGCTGGGTATCGAGGGGGTGGGAGGGAGAGGGAGGGGGCTGAGTGGGTGGTAAGGGAGAGGTTGGGGGCGGGGGGAGAAATGACCCAAGCATTGTATGCACATATGAATAATAAAACAATAAAAATTTTTTAAAAATCCTAAAATCCAAGAGGTCTATGACTATATCATTAGTAATCAAATTTTTTTAAAGTTTAACATGGGACACTTGAAAGAAAAAAAGACAGTCAATGACAGTCTTCACAGGAAGCAAACATAGCCTAAATTCTTGTTGGGATAGGATTGAAACAATCAACAGGTCCCTCTCAGAGATGAGCCAATTGATCTCATGTCAATACAAAAATTAATTGTGGTTACCTAACAATAAGGTAGATAACAGGATAATAAGGTAGATAAAGAAGGATTTATTTTTTATAAATCCTTCTTTTCCAAATAAATGTGTGTCTCTCAGGGAAAAGGAGAAGAGATGAATTTCAAACTAAAGAGATGAAAAATAATTATGTCCTACAGGAAAACCTCGTTTTTCTAATGCAGCACATTCCACATCATGTAAATAGCACAATTACATATCTATAATGATAATTACCTGGGGAAATTTTGTATCAAACACTAAGACGTACTGTTAAGAAAATTTCACAGCTAAAATGTACACTGACCCATTATTGTAATTTTCAAATAAGTTTTAAAAAATCATAGGTCTTTCATCCGCTAAACAAGTGATAGGGTGTGTGCCTATGCACATCACAGTCAGGTAATGCCAGGTATACATCCAGAAAACATAACAGGAAATATGTCTGATGGAGGAACTGAAACCTTTCTCTAACTTTATTGGCTGGACTTTAAAATATAGAAGTGCCTAAAAATGAACTGAAGGAAAAGATCACAATGCTTACTTTCATCTGCCAATTTTTTCAATGGACATTAATTACTTTTTAAATCAGAAAAAATTTTAAACTAATTACACAGTAACATTCAGTCTAAAAAAAGGTCATCTTGAATCTTTCCTGAAGAAAGTTAGGTAATAAAATATCATGATGACATATTTGGTCTAACATTATTAACGTCACAAGTAGAGTTAGAAAGCTTCATTTCCTAATGAAAATGTAATAATATAACTATACTTTTTTTGACCTTTTTTTTTTTTTTTGAGACAGAGTCTCACTAGGTGCTTGACATCCTCTTCCTTCAGTGCCCTAAGTACTGGGATTACAGGTGTGTGCCATCACATCTGTCCTTTTTTTTTCTTTACTTCTTACACAGAAAAAAGTTAAATATACTTACACATTTAACCAGCAAGGAGTAAGTGAATCCAAGTATTTCTGTTTCGCTAGTGTCAGTATTGCCTTTCTATACTGAGGATTTATGCTGCCATCACTGAACAAAATAAGTAATGGTTTCTGAAGTCTTAAATATACAGGAAGATTTTCCACAGTGATTTCTGGCTGTGAAAAGAGTGACCAAAAAACACCCCAAAACAAAAACAAGTAAACAAAAAACATAGGCAGGATGATACAGCAGAAAACACCTTTCAAATCACTCATAAAATTTTAGTTCATAAAACATAATTCAAACACATTTTCATTTAAATAGATTGAGCCATACTAACCAAAAGTATGAACCTCAAGAAAATGAAAAAACTCTTCTCATACTCAAAATCTTTTCACACCTTTCTCGCTCATGACTTGAATCTATAAGGGTCTATTTTTTTCCAAATTCCCCTGTGTTGGCTCCTTGTTAACTATCATCTTTTAATCTTCTATATGAGTTATATCCCTCTCCTGCATATTAACAGATCTTACTGCTCCAGCAGAAACGTCAGGTGAGACCCAGCCCCCACTGCTCAACTCAAACATTTATTGATAACTATAAAATTCAAGATGCTATGCTGATGTTGAATCTATAAACAATCAAAGAATACATGCTTTTAGAGGGGGAGATAGGTAGTATTCACACAGCTGTGATCCTTGAAAAAAATTCATGCATGACAAGAAGGAAACTTATTGGCTCAAAACTAAATAGGGGAACAGGTACTAGAGAAAAGGTTAGATCAAAAAGAATTAACCTAGAGGTAACACCCACGCACAGGAAATCAATGTGAGTCAATGCCCTGTATAGCTATCCTTATCTCAACCAGCAAAACCCCTTGTTCCTTCCTATTATTGCTTTACTTCTCTCTACAACAAATTAGAGATAAGGGCAAAATAGGTTTCTTGCTGGGTATTGAGGGGGGGAGTGGGAGAGCGGATGGGTGGTAAGGAGGGGGCGGGGGCAGGGGGGAGAAATGAACAAAGCCTTGTATGCACATATGAATAATAAAAGAAAAATGAAAAAAAAAAACTAAATAGGCTACAAAATAAAGTAAAGGAGCTCATGGGTGATTTCAAGAAGCGATACTTGAGGTTTTCCTTTATAAAGAGTAAGATCTTGACAGACTGAGCTACGTGCTTGAGCAGAGACTGCAGACGTGGGGACTATCACGAGGATAGGCACTCATAATGTTGAAGACCAGTGGGATGAGGACAAGGAAAGAAAGACATAGTACATCTAAAAGACAACTTAAATATCCATCAAGAGGAAACTGGTTAAATAAATATGGGACACTACCACAACACTGTATTATGCAGATATTAAAAACCAATATGCATATCTATATTCCTTGATGGAAATACCCTTAACATAAAAACACATACAGATTTTTTTTCAAGTTTGGGGTAATATTTCCATATTCAAACTTAGAGAAACTAGTTGATTTTAATTTCCTTCTTTATTATTTTCTGTGTTATCTGAAACAAATTCTAAAGTTACTACATTATAGGCTAAGGGAATATTTACATAATAACACATCATTAAAAACAAAAATGTCACTTTAATAAATTATTTAGAAAACTATATTCTCAAAATATTAACGTGATGATTTGATTAATTATAACCTGTAGCTTTGATGGAGGGAGATGACAATCAAGGTCACAAAGAGACTTATTACAGATTGCAGCCCCTTATTTGAGCCTGAAATGTATTGCCACTTAGGTCACCATGACAAGAAACATAACAAGATATTCATTCAACATTTATAACTGACAATAGTGTTCCTTATATGTCACTTTAGAACTGCAGAAGAAAACTGTAAATGTATAATATTCTAGCTATGTTTAATATAAATGCAAAGCAACCAAAATCAAGTAATCCAGGTTATATATGTTCCCTTAAATTCATTATTACACAAAGTAAAGCATTAGAAAAAGCCTTTCAGGCCTGACACAGTAACTCGTACCACAGTAGCTCCTAACTCAAGCTACTCAGAGGAGGTGGAGATCTGGAGGATCACAGTTTGACACCAGTCCAGGCAAAAAGCTAGTGAGACCCACCCCATCTCGCCCACTAAGCCAGGTGGGGTGGTGCACACCTGTGATCCCAGTACTTGAGAAAACTGAAGCAGAAGCATTACAAGTTCAATGCCAGCCTGGGTTACACAGAAAAAAAAAAAAACCTATATAGTAGCTGGGGGGGGGGAGATAAAAGAGAGCACTGGAGGCAGTAATTCTATCTAGTATGATATATTTGATACATTGTAAGACCTTTTGTAAATGCTATAATGTACCCCCACCCAGCACAACAATTAAAAACAATAATAATAGCTAACATTTGCTGGATATTTGCCCCAGGTCGAAGCCCTGTATATGTCATATCTTTAGTCATCACAGTATCTCTTTACAGCAGGGATTACTATGATGCACATTTTGCACAGGTGGAAACTTAAGGGCAGAGGAGGCACATTCAGCCAATAAGGAATCAGGCAAGGATTTGGAGCCAGGCAGTTTGACTTTCTGGAATCCACTTGCTTTATAAAAAGTTTTATCCTAGGTGAAGGACTTCATCTGGACTTGAGCCACACTAGCCCTAGCAAGGCATGTAAACTCTTAGCAGTGAACTACAAAAGCTGTGTACATCATCAAAGAGCAACAAAACAGAGCAACCCAATGAATGTGCAACCCACAAAACAGGATGCCCTGTGCCACCACAGGCTGGACAAACCGTGTGCTAACATCTACTATCTTTAACAGGCCTGGGAGTACTTCAAACAAACTCTTATTACAACGCATACTCACAAATGTTTCCAGTAATGCATTTGTTACTATTTGAACTATGTCTTGCATGTGGGTGCCAGCTAGCGGAATGCTCTCTATTTTGCTTTCTTTGTGTCTGGCAAGCAGCAGGGCTGGGAGAGTTGCAGCATATTTATTTGACCTATAGAGAGATGTAGTATTAAAACTCAGAACGAAAATACAAGTCCCATCAAAAAACATGAAAAATTAGGCCAGCAAGTCACAGTAGGAGGCAGCAAATGAAAAGTCCCACTGTTGAGAATTTCCAGACAAACTTATCTTCTCTGTTAGGTTATCTGAGGAAGATCAGGTAACCTCAATTTGAAAGAAAGCAACAGTTAACAATCTAGACATATTTTCCACACACACCCACACACATAGCTTACTCATCCAGAAAATGTCTAGATAAAATATGGAACACACTGAATGGCTTTCAACCTTTTTAGACCACTCATGATATGGCAGAGTATTAAAATGGCACCTATGAGAAACCTACTATCTTCCAGGCACTGTAGCAGTATCTTAGCTATGTTTTCACTTAACCCTTTAAGTATCCCCATACAGCAGCCCCTATCATTCCATTTTATAGATGAATAGGGTACAGAGAGTGGTAAATGGCAGACACTGAATTCAGATGAGGTGTTTTCCATACAATGTCTGTTCTCTCCACTGAGGCAAAGGCTCAAATCTATTCTCCCATCACGTTTGCTAACTAAATCTTAAGGCAAATTCTCTGAATAGGAAAAATGCTTTGTGTGAAATTATCAGTGAGGTAGTCACACATGTAACTCATGTCAGAATAAAGTATAGACATTACAATGTTATAAAGGTTAGTAAAGAGCCTAGTCTGTAGATCACCTATAGAAGCCTCTTAGTGGACCAGATGGTTATAAAAATTGAAAACTACTGGTCTAGCAGTTTGGACCATAATCAAATGCATGCCAACAGTACAAAATAGTAGATGATTATCTATTATCAGATGGATATAGGTCTCATATTTCCTCATTTACTATATACTAATTTTCAAAATGGACTGATTTCATATAATGAACAAATGTCACCATCAAGAGCAGTTTTCAAGATGAAAGATTTGTGTTTGGAAATCACAGTTAGAAAGACAAAATACTCGGGCTTAACAAGTCCACTTGTTAATGGACCATTAATGTAAAATGTGATGTGTGTTAATAAATCTCCAAATGTGCAGTTCAATCACTCATTCTACAGCAACTAAAACGTTTTGGTATCCACAGCAGTACCATCTTCCACAGATAAAGCAACTTCAGTGGCTACAAAATGTTGGGGGTTTTTAAACATATGCTTTTGTGGCAAATAAAAACTCAGATGTTCAAGAAGTAAAATTTTCCAAAAACCATGACAATTCCAAAACTGCAGGGAGTAGAACCCCAAGAGCAAACTTTTTACAGGAGGATGAGGTAGTGTGAATCCAAGATTGTCCCTGTAGACTCATCAGCTAAAAGTAAAAAAAATATTTAAAGGACCTAAATAGCCCATACCTTCGAGATCTTCCTGGAAGGAAATCAAAAACTCATTTATAGTGCTCCCATATCACCTGTGTAAAGATAAGCAACAAATTAAAAAGCATAGCTTTTTCCTTCCTAAAATTAGAAGAGCAATAAACTTACAATATCCAAATATCGTCTTCAGAGTAAATTCCAGTGATGACATATCCTTTTAGGTAGTTCCCTGCTTCAGTGAAATCTTCTTTTGCTGTAGACACAGACAAGACAAAACTCTGAATCTTTAATATTATGTGTGCTATTCAACTGACGAACATATTTACAGAGAGAATGTCACTCCTAAGGCAGGGTAAGTGGAGACAGCTGTCCTATATTGCTTGTAAAGAGAAGAAGGTATGTGAAATGATATATAGATTATAAATCACAAAATGTTAACGTTCCTATGTGCATTAAAATAGAAGACTGGAAATTCTAGTCCTCTAACACTGTCTATGTTAGGATTTTGCAACTATGAGGTATTTTTGTCTTATTTCCTACATTTTCTATAATGTATTTTTGTTACTTTTTAACTTTGCTTAATTTGTGTATCATGTACTACAAATATATATACATATAAGTATTTATATTCAAATTAAAAATTTTTATTTCTATAGATTTCTGAACACATTTTCATAAATGGCATGTTCTGAATCAATTAATGACTATCTCTCTTTTTTTTTTTTTTTTTGGTAGTACTGGGGTTTGAACTCGGGGCTTCATGCTTACTAGGCAGGCACTCCACTACTTGAGCCACTCCACCTGCCCTTTGTTATGTTGGGTATTTTCGAAACAGGGTCTTTTTGAACTATTTGCCTGGGCTGGCTTTGAACCTCGATTCTCCTGCTCTCTGCCTCCTAAGCAGCTAGGATTACAGGCATGAGTCACCAGTGCCTGGCCTTTAATGACTATATTATAACCAAGAATTAAGTTTGAATTAAATCATTGTAGACAAATGATTTAATGTCTAGCTGTGGACTGAGGAGTGAATTAAGTTTTACTAAATGAAGGCCAAATGATAGCTCAGCCCCATGCACCAAAGATTTAGTAGCAGCTCAAGCAAAAAACTGTTATGGAAGACATAAACCAAAAAGTACCTAGAGGGCTAGGCATGCTGAGTCCACTGTTCTATACTTTAGCAGTCAGCAGTATATTCATGATGTAAGCATCAGCTCTGGCACCATGGCAACCACAAGGTTTTTTTTTGTTTTGTTTTGTTTTTTCTTTTGAAAGGGTGCATAAGATTAAGACACATGGTCAGAAGGAAAGCAAACCTACTAAGGTGGCTCAGTCAGCCTGTATGCTAAAAACTTCAAATGAATATTAACTGGTAAGGATGATAAGGAATTTTTATTGCCAAAAGCAAAATAGAACAAACCTCAAAATCAATAGATTTGAATAAACAAATTTTAAGCTGCTATATATAAAAGTGTTACTGAACAAAGCTAAGGGACAAAGTGGGGGAAAATAGTTGGAACACAATGACAAATGCTTAATCTGTGACAACATCACACTAATGCATACGACAAGCACTAAAACCCCATTTTTAAAAATTAGAACCACAGGGGAGATTGGGGGTGATCTAACCAATGTATAATGTAAGGCTGTTTGGAATTATCACAATGAATCACCCTGTACAATGAATATATCCCAATAAAAAATAAGCACATATAATTTACAATTACATATATTAGCACAACTTACAGAAGACATAAAGTTATTCTACTGGGACTCCACACCCATTAAATAGTCCAAAGTCCATAAAAAGACAAAAGAATGATCCTCACATACAGGGGGAAAAACAGGAAAGAGCGTATTGTTTGTGACCAAATCATAGTATATATATTCATTCAACTAAACATTACACAGCCATGACATTTGCAAAGAATATTAATCACACAGGGAGAGTACTCCAGTACAATGCTAAATAAAACAAAAAATAACAAGATACTAGCCTACATGCACCGTTTATCCCAGTTACATTAAAATATATGCAATATATAGGCATACAGGAAAAAGATGGCCAGAGTGACATCAAAATTTCTCTGAATAATTAGAGATTTATTCTTCAAATGGCCACTTTTTTTCATTTCTCTGCAATAAGTATATTGCAGCTAGTCAGCAAGGAGTGTACGGCATAATTTTAAAGCTCAATTCCACTTACCTGCTGTCATGCCTGGACTAAATAGCCCCAGTACTGACACATTAGAATAGGCAACCAGGTCTTTATATAATTCTCCACTTAAATATTCTTCTGCTTCTTGGGTTGATGCTATGTTCACTGGACATGAGATCCTGTTGCTGGATGAATATATTAACTATATCAAAATTAATTTTTAAAGATATTTTTCAGTTTTTTTTTAAATTGAATTTAGCAAGCAATAGATTACACAGGATAAATATCTGACAAAATCACAAATTACTCCTTAAAAAAATCAATCTCATTAAACATCTCCCCAAAAGTGATGAAATGTGCATAGACCCTCCTGACCAATATTTACTCTGATTTCAGCTCTTGTATCCTATATAACCTATTAAAGGTATGTCAACAAAATGTGAGAATTAAAACTAAAGACCCAAATTTTAGAAAGAATAGTGAACTGAGTACTTACAGTTGGATAAATTTTAGGAGATCCTCAGCTCCTAACATACCAGCATAAGACACTGGGTTCTTGCCTTCCCTGTACATCTTCACAGCAGGAAAGTCAGTAACATTTTGCTTAGTACACACATCAGACCAATCTGCACAGTTTATTCTAGTAAGAAGCAGAGTGGATGTGCCTAAATTAAAGGGAAATGCACATTCTATAATGTAGAATACTCATCTGCTTAGAATTCATTATTTTCCTATCCCATTCTTATTTTAACCTGTCAGCATGAAACACTCCTATGAAAACACTCTTCCTTGGATTTTTGCCCTACTGGCTTTTATCCCACCTCCCTAGCTTCTCTGTTTAGGTCCCTTTTGTGGCTTCTTCTGTACATGGAGTTCTAAGTCTCTCAGGGCTCATTTTCAATTGCTTTTTCTTCTTACTCCATTTTTTTTGTTTTATTATTCATATGTGCATACAAGGCTTGGGTCAATTCTCCCCCCTGCCCCCACCCCCTCCCTTACCCACCCACCCCTCCCTACTCCCACTCCCCCTCCCTCTCCCCACCACCCCCTCAATACCCAGCAGAAATTATTTTGCCCTTATCTCTAATTTTGTTGAAGGGAGAGTATAAGCAATAATAGGAAGGTACAAGGTTTTGCTGGTTGAGATAAGGATAGCTATACAGGGAGTTGACTCACATTGATTTCCTGTGCTTGTGTGTTACCTTCTAGGTTAATTCTTTTTGATCTAACCTTTTCTCTAGTTCCTGGTCCCCTTTCCTATTGGCCTCAGTTGCTTTTAAGGTATCTGCTTTAGTTTCTCTGCGTTAAGGGCAACAAATGCTAGCTAACTTTTTAGGTGTCTTTTTATGTCCTTCCCTTGTGTGCTCTTGCTTTTATCATGTGCTCAAAGTCCAATCCCCTTGTTGTGTTTGCCCTTGATCTAATGTCCACATATGAGGGAGAACATACGATTTTTGGTCTTTTGGGCCAGGCTAACCTCACTCAGAATGATGTTCTCCAATTCCATCCATTTACCAGCGAATGATAACATTTCGTTCTTCTTCATGGCTGCATAAAATTCCATTGTGTATAGATACCACATTTTCTTAATCCATTCGTCAGTGTGGGGCATCTTGGCTGTTTCCATAACTTGGCTATTGTGAATAGTGCTGCAATAAACATGGGTGTGCAGGTGCCTCTGGAGTAACCTGTGTCACAGTCTTTTGGGTATATCCCCAAGAGTGGTATTGCTGGATCAAATGATAGATCAATGTTTAGCTTTTTAAGTAGCCTCCAAATTTTTTTCCAGAGTGGTTGTACTAGTTTACATTCCCACCAACAGTGTAAGAGGGTTCCTTTTTCCCCGCATCCTCGCCAACACCTGTTGTTGGTGGTGTTGCTGATGATGGCTATTCTAACAGGGGTGAGGTGGAATCTTAGTGTGGTTTTAATTTGCATTTCCTTTATTGCTAGAGATGGTGAGCATTTTTTCATGTGTTTTTGGCCATTTGAATTTCTTCTTTTGAGAAAGTTCTGTTTAGTTCACTTGCCCATTTCTTTATTGGTTCATTAGTTTTGGGAGAATTTAGTTTTTTAAGTTCCCTATATATTCTGGTTATCAGTCCTTTGTCTGATGTACAGCTGGCAAATATTTTCTCCCACTCTGTGGGTGTTCTCTTCAGTTTAGAGACCATTTCTTTTGATGAACAGAAGCTTTTTAGTTTTATGAGGTCCCATTTATCTATGCTATCTCTTAGTTGCTGTGCTGCTGGGGTTTCATTGAGAAAGTTCTTACCTATACCTACTAACTCCAGAGTATTTCCTACTCTTTCCTGTATCAACTTTAGAGTTTGTGGTCTGATATTAAGATCCTTGATCCATTTTGAGTTAATCTTGGTATAGGGTGATATACATGGATCTAGTTTCAGTTTTTTGCAGACTGCTAACCAGTTTTCCCAGCAGTTTTTGTTGAAGAGGCTGCTATTTCTCCATCGTATATTTTTAGCTCCTTTGTCAAAGACAAGTTGGTTATAGTTGTGTGGCTTCATATTGGGTCCTCTATTCTGTTCCACTGGTCTTCATGTCTGTTTTTGTGCCAGTACCATGCTGTTTTTATTGTTATTGCTTTGTAATATAGTTTGAAGTCAGGTATTGTGATACCTCCAGCATTGTTCTTTTGACTGAGTATTGCCTTGGCTATTCGTGGCCTCTTGTGTTTCCATATAAATTTAACAGTAGATTTTTCAATCTCTTTAATGAATGTCATTGGAATTTTGATGGGAATTGCATTAAACATGTAGATTACTTTAGGGAGTATCGACATTTTTACTATGTTGATTCTACCAATCCATGAGCATGGGAGATCTCTCCACTTTCTATAGTCTTCCTCAATCTCTTTCTTCAGAAGTTTATAATTTTCTTTGTAGAGGTCGTTCACATCTTTTGTTAGGTTTACACCTAGGTATTTGATTTTTTTTGAGGCTATTGCAAATGGAATTGTTTTCATACATTCTTTTTCACTTTGCTCATTATTAGTGTATAGAAATGCTAATGATTTTTCTATGTTGATTTTCTATCCTGCTACCTTGCTGTAGCTATTGATGATGTCTAGAAGCTTCTGAGTAGAGTCTTTTGGGTCTTTAAGGTATAGGATCATGTCGTCTGCAAACAGGGATATTTTGACAGTTTCTTTACTATTTGTATTCCTTTTACTCCTTCTTCTTGCCTAATTGCTCTGGCTAGGAATTCCAGTACTATGTTGAATAGGAGTGGAGATAGTGGGCATCCTTGTCTGGTTCCTGATTTTAGAGGGAATGGTTTCAGTTTTTCTCCGTTAAGTATAATGCTGGCTGTAGGTTTGTCATATATATAGCTTTTATAATGTTGAGGAACTTTCCTTCTATTTCTAGTTTTCTTAGAGCTTTTACCATGAAATGGTGTTGGATCTTATCAAAGGCTTTTTTTGCATCTATTGAGATGATCAAGTGGTTTTTGTCTTTGCCTTGTTAATGTGGTTTATTACGTTTATTGATTTTTGTATGTTCAACCACTCTTACATTCCTGGGATGAAGCCTACTTGGTCGTGGTGAATAATCTTTTTGATGTGTTGCTGAATTCGGTTTGCCATTATTTTGTTGAGGATTTTTGCATCAATGTTCATTAAGGAGATTGGCCTATAGTTCTCCTTTTTGGAGGTATCTTTGCCTGGTTTGAGGATAAGTGTAATACTGGCTTCATAAAATGTGTGTGGCAGTTTTTCCTTCCCTTTCTATTTCGTGGAACAGTTTAAGGAGGGTTGGTATCAGTTCTTCTTTAAAGGTCTGATAGAATTCAGCAGAGAATCCATCAGGTCCTGGACTTTTCTTTTTGGGGAGACTCTTGATTGCTGCTTCAATTTCATTTTGTGTTATAGATCTATTTAGGTGATTAATTTCTTCTTGGTTCAGTTTTGGATGACCATATGTATCTAGAAATCTGTCCATTTCTTTAAGATTTTCAAATTTATTTGAATACAGGTTCTCAAAGTAGTCTCTGATGATTTCCTGAACTTCCATGGTGTTTGTTGTTATCTCCCCTTTTGCATTCCTGATTCTACTAATTTGGGTTTTTTTCTCTCCTCATTTTAGTTAGGTTTACCAGGGGTCTATCAATCTTGCTCCATTCTCTTTCTAAACAATTTCAGTAACTGCCAAGAATCTAATGAATGCTAAACTTATGTCTTTTAGCTCAGACTCCTCTCTGAAGTTCCAGACCCAGACATCCTTACTGGCTTCTCAGTTTCCCATTGATGGAAACATTCTCAAACTGTGTATCTCTAAACCCAAGTATGATTTCTGTCCTGTGTATGTTAGTGAAGGTGGCTACTCTTGCACAACTCAGAAAACTAAGAATCATCTTTCATGCCCTCCTCTTCCTAATCACTCCATGTCTATTCAATCAATAGCTTTTCAATTTTACCACTTAAATTTTAAACATCTCTAATTATTGTCTATTTCTCTTTACTCCACTACTCATCATTTCTTCTGGATAAGTACAATAGGGTTCTAATGCAATTCCCTAAATTCAAAGTCTCTACAGTAACTCTAGAAATATCTTTTCAAAACTCAAATCTGTTCTGGTGCCAGCCCACTCCCCCTGGGCCCTGTCTTATTAGCAGCCTACCATATCAAGTTTTGCAGAAGTAGGTCTGTCTCATTGTGACTACTTGAGGCTGTCTTCTCTGGCACCCTGCTCTACATCAGGTTCTTTGATATGTGCTCTGACAGAATCACACTCCTTTTCTTATCTCACTATGTAACTCTGCACTCATTTGTGTGGTTGTCTGATTAATGTCTTCTTTCAAGAGAGCTCCATGAGAGAAGCAACTGTGCCTGTTTTATTCAGCACTCTAATACCTAGTATCTAGAGCAGTCAGTCCCTGCACAGGAAGCACCTTTAATACACATGTGAACAAATGACACACGAACCCCTTTAGAGCTTCAGGCTCCCAGCCCCATCTAAACACAATCTCTTTTCAGCCTAAGAGGATGCACAGTGGAATCCAAAGCAGAAATGCCTACCTGCTCTAAAATAAAACATGTAAAGTTCTCTAAAATATGTAAATCATTGGGTGAAAAGAAAGCAAAACCCAAATAAAACAAGCACCACATAATTCAGTTACTGAAAGACAAAAATAAATTCTAATAAAAATAAACTAATATCATATTAAATAAGAAATCTCTATACATCAGTTAGGATATAGCCTAAGTGTAACCTAACCATAGGACTCAAACTGTGAAATGTAATATTTTAATGTCTTGTCACCAAAAGATTTTAATAATGAAAATTCACTTTTAAAAGATTATAGCTCATGGAAGCAATAAGTTACTACTTCAGATTTAGTGTTAATTCTGTTTGATAATACAAAGTATGTGCCCAATAGAAATGTGTGTAATGTACACTGGTATTTCTTTATAAATTAAAATTTTTATGCTAAAGAATATTAATGTCTGAACATTATATCAGCATATAAAGAAACACAACCCTATTCCTTCTAAAATCAGGCCTGCCAAGTCACTTCTCTACAAAATCCCCTTATCCTTTAATTGTGTCATCAATAAGTATCTGGTGATCAGCACCTAGAATAGAGTGCTATCACAGACACAGTGGTCCCTTCAGCAGGCATGTGCCACATGTCAATGCCTGCTAAAAATGTTATTACTTTGTCCCTAACAAAGTTGAAAACCTTGATGTTATCGTTAAAACTCGAAAAATGCTACTATATGATATGATAAGTTATAAGGCTGCTTATACTAACATTATTAATTTAAAATTTTTATTATCTTTTCTGAAAAAGGGGTTTCAAAAATTCTCACATTTCAATCTTAATAGCCTAATTTTCTGAAATACCTATAGTATTATATCCCATGCACATTACCAATGCATTAACTTCAAACAGGATTCACAACTTGAAGAAAAAAATAGACTCTCTTTGATACAGTAAGTACAAAACTCTGATATTTGCTGCCACCTTGTGACTCAGGAAAATATATTCCTCATTGTCTTGGACAGATGAAAAATGGATTTTTTGCAAGAAATCAACATGAAAGACAGATTATAGGACTAAGGTTTAAATACTATAATATTTTCCTAATTTAAAGTTACAGTACAGGTTGAGCATCCTTAGTAGGAAAATTTGAAGTGTTCCAAAATCTGAAACTTTTTGAGTTTCAGATTTCCACAAGAGGAAAATTCCACACTACACCACCTCATGTGACAGACTGCAGTCAAAACACAACTTCAGTACAAAAAAAAAATGCTGGATAAAACGCACTTCAAGCCATGTGTATAGGATGTATATGAACATAAGTCAATTTTGTATTTACACTTGGGTCCCACACAATATTTCATTATATGTATGCAAATAATACAAATTCTGAAAAAGAAACCCCAAATCCTAAACAATTCCGTTCCCAAGTATTTCAGATAAGGAATACTCAAGCTGCATAGGCTTCAAAATAGACGTAAAACACTAGCTAATGCAAAACACATTAAGCCCCCAGAACTTCAAAATAGTCTATGTATCTGATATTGAATTACTAACTGGAATGTTATTCATAAAGAACATACTGACTGAAAAGGAAATCAAGTTATCTGCCTTTTTATTCTACTCACACACACATCTCAAAAATTAAATAGTAGGGAATGGGTGCAGTGGCTCATGCGTATAATCCCAGCTACTCAGGAGGTGGAGATCAGGAAATCTCTACCCAAGCAAAAAGTTTAACTTTAGCCCAAGCAAAAAGTTAATGAGACCCCCATCTCAACAACAACAAACAACAAGTTGGGTGTCATGACACATACTTGTCATCCCAACTTCCTGAAAGGCGTAGGTCTGAGGCTGGTGTTGGACAAAGAGAGACCCTAACTGAAAAATAACCTAAAGCAAAAGGAGCTAGAAGTGTGGCTGAAGTGGTACAGCATTTACCTAGCAGGTGTAAGATCCTGAATTCAAGCCCCAGAACTATAAAAACCAAATAACAACAAAAAGAAAAACAAAAAACCTAAATGGTGGGTAACATTCCCAGAGTAGCCAAGAATGAGCCTGTTTAGCTGTAATAGCTCCTATTTGCAAGATAAGTGGAGTAGGAGGAAAACATATGACCAATACAAAACATGATACATTCTGTCCTATTTCAAATGATTACAAAACATTATGCACACCTAATCCACACTACCTCTCTTACTAACAGGTGTCCATATTTCTCCCTATGTATTTGCTGGAATGACAGCATGGACATTTTGAATTAAAGACCAATCCTTGGACTCTTTCTTGCCCACAATTCAATCAATTATGATAGACTAATTAATATAAAAATATTCTGGTGGCTATTAAGAAATATCCCAGCTGGGCAATGGAGGCTCATGCCTGTAATCTTAGCTACTCAGGAAGCAGAGATAAGGAGGCTCATGGTTCAAAGCCAGCCCACGCAAATAGTTTGTGAGACCTTATCTTGAAAATACCCATCAAAAAAAGGGTTGGCAGAGTGGCTCAAGGTGAAGGCCATAAGTTCAAGCCCCAGTACTGCAAAAAAAGAAGAAGAGGAAATATCCCAGTCTATGAGAAACAATGTAGCCTCAAAAACACTGGGATCTTTGATCTTTCCTTAAAGAAACTGGGTCTTACATGTCAGATTTTTGCTTCCAGTATTTAATGGTAACTGACACTGAGTAAGCACTCAATAAATGCTTGCTGGATGACTGAATTCAACCAAAAAGGTTATTGGATTAAGAGTAGCCATAAATATTTAAACATGGGCTCTCTTGTTTCTACCAAGGTCCTGTGAGATCACAATGAATGTTTCTGAGCATTTTTAACAGTTTTGGTTTATTCAATCAGGAACATAGGCATGCATATCACAGAATATATACTACCTTTCAATTTAACCGCCACATCAATATAGGATTGCAGAAAGGCCATGGATACTGCATGCCCTATGTTAAAATAAAAACAATAGGTATTACAACATGGATAGCTCCAAAGCATCCACATTTACATATAACAATTCGTGGCTTCCCAAATTTTTATTTCCAAATATCCTAGTATAAAGCACTCAATATTATCCAACCACTTAAAAGGGTTCCAAATGCAACTAATTTTCTGCATTCATAAAGCAAGTAATAGAGTTGAGTGGATATTATTTGAAGATAAAAGCAATATTTTCCTAAAAATCTGTAAGAACGGTTAATATATTTAAAAATAACAATAGTTTTTCAAAGTTAACAAGCTGAATACCTAGTCTAAACATTAACCTTCAATTTTTAAATTACATATATAGAAATATATAAAATCAGTTTTACTCCTTTGAGTCAGTTGGAAGTCAATGTGTACAGTCTACTTGGGGCATTTGAAAACTATGTCATTTTGCATATACAATATGTAGAATGCAAAAACAAAATGTTGGCTTTAAATGTCATATTCTGTAATACAGTGAATAATTCCCTAAACACTTATACGCACAAGCAGCATAGAAGAGCACTATGCTGTCAGAAGCCATTACAGTCACATTAAATGTTTCTTCTGTTAGTTCCACTGTCAATTCCAAAGGTAGCTGTCTCTTCCTATCTCTGTAAACAGTTTCTGCCACTTCATCATCTTGAACATCTGAAATGTTTTAAAAGATGTTAATTTAAACATAGAACAATAAACTCTTCTCATAGGCAAGTACTTTATAAGAACTTGAATTCACACTATCTAAACAGTTAAAATGTATAATACTAAGAAAACTTCACAGTTGCCTGGCTTCCTATCTAAATTACTCTGAGAATGCTTTCTGACCTAGAAATAATAGAGCTTACTTGGGTCCAGATGCACTTATTTAAGTGTGTTCTATAAACAGGTACTTTGTTTCTAATCATTATATTAATTTAGTATCCTAAAAGAGCCTACCATACTTATTTTCCAGTGTTTATCTAGCTTCTACCTTATGTCAAGCATTATGATAAACACTAGGGCAAATGGTGAAAAAACAGACACTGTTCCTGACTGCATGGAGGTTCTATCAATGGAAACACCAGAAATAAACTGGTCAATAAGTGAATACATAGTTATAAACTGCTATCAGTTTATGAGGAAGGGAAAAGATACAGTGAAAGATTATAACAGGGAAGTTTAGATTAAGACACCCAAAGCCTGCCAGGCAGAGAATCAAGAAAAGAATATTGTAGACAATGAGGGTAACATCTGCAAGGCTCTGAGACATAAAAGAGCTTCCCATATAACAGGTACTGAGAGAAGGAAAATGACAAAAAGATGGGGCTGGAGGAATAAAGAGAAAACAGTGGGCTAGGCAGTGGCTGAACTATAAGAGAACAAAATTCTTGGCCAAGAATTTTGAATTTTATCAAAGTGCATGAAGTTATGGACACATTCTGAATATGTGAAAAACATTCATTAATTCAGACAAATTGATCAGTAAACTGCTAGATCATACATCCATCTAGCTATCCATCCAAGTATATGATAAAAAACATATTCTGAATTTAAATTATTCTGTAGCAAGTTTGTACAAATTGTCCAGTAACACAGAAGGGGTATTTGACTTAATTAAGGAGAAAGTTAAGGCTTTCTGGAAAAGATGATACTAGCTGGACATTAAAAGAAAAATAAAACTTAGGCAGGCAGGGAAGGGAGGCAATGAGGCATACAGAGCAAAGGAAACAGCATGTGCAAAGGCACAGTGGCATGAAAGAGCATGACACAATTGGGAATTCAATCACTGGGTGGATATCTAATGACATTAAGAATTATTTTTTAGACGTAGTAACAGTATTCATTTTGTAAATCTTCTAAAAAATATTTTTGTGTATTGCTGAAGTAGAAATGCACAGATAAAATATCTGTGGATGAAATTGTATGTCTAGGATTTGTTCAAATAAATAAGGGGTGGGAGTGATTAGAACAGGAGTAATCATGGGCTGATGGTGACTGGGACAAGTAATGGATACCAGGAAGTTTGTGCTATTATCCTGTGTACTTTCTAGAATGTTCATAATAATATTCTGTAATGGCACATGAAAAAGAAAAGAGGAAGGGAGGAACATAATGTTCTTGGAACTAAAGCATTATTTCCATACTATTTCTAATACTATAGTAAATACCTAATTCTAGATCAGGATGTCAGTGCCATCTCAGCCATCTTCTAACTATAGGATACACAAAGCTCAGTAGGCCTGAACAGTCAGTACTCAACTCTGTGAAGCATGAGATTAATAAAGGTACTTTGAGATACCACATGCCAAGTACTAAAAAGTTATGCCTCGATACCAAAGTCGGTAAAGCTCTATTATCTTATATTGCATGGTTTTTTCCTTCTTATTCACATATTTTAATTTTCCAGTCAGTTTTTTTCTTATTTTCCAATAGACCCTTTTTTCTCTTATTTTATTTCAATACCCATTCATTTGTAAACTCCTTAGCTCTACCTTTCATCTAGTTATCAAAACACATACTATTTGTAGTCACATTTTCTTTTCTTCCTCCCTCCCTCTCTCTCTTGTTTGTGTATGTGTTGCCCTTTTGTAGAACTTGGACCTTGTCATTGTGATTCACACTTTGGCCATTTCCTTTGGGGGACACTTGTCTCTTGAGTTCCACTCTCAGACAGTAACAAATTCTTTGCTAACCTTCTTCTAGTTGTCCTGTGTAAAGGGCAATGATACAAAGGGAAGAGATTATGTATATGGATGTGACATCATAAAATAGTAAGTGGATTATTGTAGAGAGCTTTCTCGAGCTCTGTTCTCCTGACCTAACTGGGGGCAACTGGAGATGCAGAAAGGACAAAAGATAGAAGACAAAGCTGGGGCCAGGTGTGCTGGGTGCTTGGATGGAGACACACAACAGCCTTATTACTTCTTTTCTCTATTATTCTCTTCTGTTACTTTGCTTCTTTTCTTCTCTATTCTTTAAGGCCTTTCTTCTTTACTACTCTTTAAAACTTTGCTTCTTTTCTATTCTTTAAAGTATCTTTCCTTAGTCTCACACTGTCCATGTTTTCTTTAATCTCTCTTAAAGTCTTGGCTTTCAAGATGCCCCACTACTGACAAATGGATTAAGAAAATGTGGTATCTATACACAATGGAATTCTACTCAGGATAAAGAATGAAATCTTATCATTTGCAAGCAAGTGGATGGAAGTGGAGAACATCATTCTGAGCGGGGTTAGCCAGGCTCAGAAGACCAATAATCATAAGTTCTCCCTCATATGTGGGCTTTAGATCAAGGGCAAATACAGCAATGTGATTGGAATTTGATCACATTATAAGGCAAGAGCACACAAGGGAGGTATGAAGATAGGTAAGAAACCCAAAAAACAGGATAGTATTTGATGTCCTCAATGCAAAGGAACTAATGCAGAAACTTTAAAGTGACAGAGGCCAATAAGAGAGGGGATCAGGAATTAGAGAAAGGTCAGTTCGAGAAGAATCAACTTAGAATGTAACACATTTGTACATGGAAGCAATGCTAGGAATCTCCCTGTATAGCTATCCTTATCTCAACTAGCAAAAATGCTTTGTTCTTCTTATTATTGTTTATACTCTCTCTTCAACAAAATTAGAGATAAGGGCAAAACAGTTTCTGCCTGAAGTGAGGGGGTGGGGCGTAGGGGGGAGAAATGATCCAAACATTGTATGTACATATGAATAAATGGAAAAAAAAAGTCTTGGCCTTCAGACTTGCAGACACACAGCCAGCCTCAGCAGCAGCAGCAGCAGCAGCAGCGTCATTCTCACAAGTAGCCTGCAGCCAGCCAATCAATCCATCCATCCATCATGTCAGGATACTAGCCCAGGATGGTCCAGTTCTAGCCAAGCTCTACTGCATGCCACTAGTGTGACCATGGGCAGGTCACATAACTGAGGAAAACAGACTCATCATCTATAAAACGAAGGTGACATCAGCTAACTCATACAGCAATCAAAGAAAGTAATGGGTGTGGGAGAGCCTTCAGAACTGCAGAATATTTCATAAATATTAGTATAAGAGCAATAAAAACCAGAAACAACCATTAAAAAGAAATATTAAAATGACATTCAAATTTACTCCCTATTTAACAATCGGACGCATTTATAACCATAAACACAATAACGTTTATTACAATTTCATTTCCTACTAGGAATAATAAAACTGAAATATGCTGTGGCTTCTGGGTAGTTTTGAAATGTGGAGCAAGCCCAGAGGGCTAAAAGAATTGACTTGGAGAATAAAGGCACAGGTGTGGGAAGCTATAAGGCTAATGTGTAACAATAAAGGTATACATTAAACATAATACAGCATCCTTTTCACTTACTCAACTTGATAAAACATGATTTAAAATAAATTTCTCCAGGTTACTTCACAGTCTTGAATGTGAATACATTCTATAAGAAAGTTAATCCACTGGAAATTTCACTGACATTATGATGTTGAGCAGGAAGAGGGATGACAATCATTAAGACTCTTACCCAGATCTGGACCTTCAACATCATCATCTTCATCTTCTTGTATTTCCTCCGTGTGCATATTATTTTCCACATGGAAAATTATTAAATCAATATCATGTAACACCAAATATTCCACTGCAACTTCCTAGAAATGTAAGAAGATATAGCAAAGCATTTTAATCTAAAAATGTTTTACCTGTTTGATACTCAAATGAAACTAAACCTTTGAACTTCAATTTTATAATTGAACAAAAGAGGAAATACATCCCCAAATTACTATAAAAGGCATTCAAAGACAGCTGCACTACTGAAAAAGAAGGCAAAAAGGAAGAACTGAAAATGTCACTTGCTTCTTGTCACAGCTGAAATCTGCAAAACATTTAGTAGATAATAGCAAGCTCTACCTCAAGATGAAATGGAAATATAAATTACTGCAAACAGATGATCAAAACTGGTCATGTTGATATTCCACAGAACTGATACTTCATCTAAAATAATTCTTCTAAAAAGTTCATTTTTCTGTTTAGCTATAAACATAAAATTAGTCTGTGTTCCAGATATTGTAAGAATACCAAATTCTATTTCATTGAGATCAATATTATTCCATTAAGATTTCTTTCACTAGTGCTCAACTATCACTTTTTGTTTGTTTGTTTTTGCAGTGCTGGGGATTGACCCCAGACCCTTAAACATGCTGGACAAGTGCTCTGCCACTGAGCTACATCCCCAGCCCCTCAACTATCACTTTTTAAAAACAAGGAATTTTAGGCCAGTAGATTATTTTAGCAAATCATCTCGACCATAACTATACGTTGTAATAAAGCTGTAAAAGAGCTCAAATGCTTTTTCTTTGATACTACATATGTTTATTTATTTAATATTATATTTGAAACAATCACTTTTTTACTCCTGAAGAAATATAATGGAGTTAAAAGGTAGTGGGGTCAAAATAAATCAAACTGAATTCATCTCAAATGTAATACAGACATTTTACATGTAAACTTTTGTCGAAATACAACATTTACACAGAAGTCACCAGTTTTAAGTGTTCAGCTTGATGAATTTTTATAAAGTGGACAGACCTGTATAACCACCACACAGATTGAGGTAAGAACACCTCCAGCACAGGTAGAGGCCTTCTTTTTGCCTGTCATTTCCCTCCCCCAAAGGTAGTCAGTATTCTGCCTTCCACCACTGCTATGCTTTGAATGCTGTGGCTCCCCAAAACTCCTATGTTGAAACCTAATTACCCACATGATAGTATTAGGAGGTGGCTCTTTGAAAGGTACTTGGTCATGAAGGCAGAGCCCTCGTGAGTGGGATTAGGGCCCATAAAGAAGACTCCAGAGATCTAGTTCCTCTCTGCCACCATGAGAAGACACACAGAAATGTGTGAACCACAAATGGACTCTCACCAGATACCAAATCTTTTGGCACTTTATCTAGGACTTTCCAGTCTTTATAATTGTGAGAAATAAATTTCTATTGTTTACAAGCTATTTCATGTGTGGTACTTTGTTATAGATGCCCAGTCAGGTTAAGATAATCATTATCTACCTACAGTTTATTTGGTAAGTGGAAAGGGGCAAATGTATCTTATAATGGGCAGAATAGCTGTCATACCTTACCTAACTCAGGAGCTGAACATGGAATCACTGAGAAAAACAAGCATTGTACATTTTAGGAGGGGACAGAATTATAATGAAGCCAGCACTAAGAAAAATTCTTACCCAAAATGTTTAGTGTAGCTAATCAACCTTAAAATGTAATTAATAGAAAATATAAATAAGGCAATAGAGGAGCAAAGAAGAGCAGCAAAAGGAAACAGGTAAATCCAGAACTTGGAAAAATTAGTAACATTTATCCAAAAAGTCACTGTCATAGAGAAAAAAGGAAGGGGAGATTTATGATAAGAGATTTAGGAAATAAATGTAATTTATAATTCTTGACTGCATTTTGGTTTCTAAAAACTATAGAAAATAATTTCAGGATAAAAAATTAAAGATGAACTGATTTGAAATTAGGCTATCAATTTATTAATATATTATTAGTATTAAATTATAATTTTAAGTGTGTAATGAGACTGTGATTATATATATAGTTTTTAGAGAGCAATGCTACATATTTATGGGCAAAATGTCATGGTGTCTAACATTCTTTTAAATGTTTCAGAAAAAACTGTAGATAGAAAGTATGACAAAATATTTATTGTTGAATTTATATATTTGTTTATTTTATTTTTCTTTCTACTTTTTGGTATGTTTACTTTTTTTCATAATAAAATGTTTAAAAAAGGAAAAAAAAGGGCTTTTGCAAACTTATGATTTGGATCTTAAATATCCCCCAAATGGTACTACTGGAAGGTGAAGAAACATTCAGGAGGCAGGGCCTAGTAGAAGGGAGACAGATCACTGGAGATGTGCTCTCAAAGTGGGTTTTGGGACCTGTGCCCTTCTTCTTCTGGCCACCATGAGGTGAGCAGCCACCTCTGCTAAGTGGTCCCACCACCATGATGTACTACCTCGTCCCAGACCCTAAAGCAGCTGAGCCAACCATGGACTGATACATCAGAAACCATGAGCTAAAATAAATCTTTCCTCCTTTAAGTTGATTTTCTCAGAAAAGTAACTAACACACTTAGATACTAAGGTAGAACCTAGGCATTAACGGGATTTCTCACACTATCCTAGTATGTCAACATCCACTCCCTTCCCCAGGACCTCTTGTGTTCTCCCTGTCTACAACACTCTTTCCACACATATCCACAGGCTCACTCCTTTGCTGTATGCCACTTCTCAGTTATGGCTTCTGTGACTACCCTCCTACCTCAACTCAAGTTGGTTTCTTCCATCAACCTCAACACCATCTAACATTCTAGCCATACTTGCTTTTTATCTGTCTCTTGCTACTAGTATCGTAGCACCACAAAGTCAAATGCCTGGTTTTCAAAAACCTGGCTTCATCTCAGAGCCTAGGACTACCTAAAACAATGCAAGTACCTTATGAATATTTGTTGAATGAATGTTAGTGAATACTTATTAGCATTAACAGTTGTTGGGCCCTATGCTAAGTAAGCACTGTACATTATTTCATGTAATATACTGGGCCAACAACACTTTTAAGTAGGTATTATTATCACTATTCTACAAAGCAGGATTTGAACAAGGCAGCATGACTATGGCATAAACTCTTAATACTATATTGCTAATCACTACCATAGAGAAAAAAACATCATTGGAATTAATACAATGTTACCAGGAGTCCTAGCAGATTGTATTATGTACTTGTATTATGGCATTACAAGTCCTATAATGTGCATTACATACTAACTAACTGCCCTATAATATATGTGATAGGGCTTGTAATGTCATAATACAAAAACATAACACTGTCTGTACAACCAGTATTACTACATAAAGACCCTCAAGCCCTTTGTCTAGAGGGGTACAGGAAAGGGGGAAAGGAAAGGATGATTTTACAATCCCAGGATCAACATTTTGCCCTGAAGAAGAGGTTAAAAATTGCATTCAGCTTATTAAAGAAACTCATAGAAAAGCTTATTCTATCCTTGACAGAAACCTGTTAACAGACATAGTTATGTAATATTAACCTATCAACAAAATTATTTTTATACATTTTAACAAATTAAGAACATCAAAACTGGGAAGTATAACGTTTTTGGAGGGCAATTTGACAATGTATTTTAACTTTAAAAATTCCCATTTCCTTTGACAAATTTTACTTACAGAAATTTTGCCAAAGGAAAGAATCAGGGATGTTCAAAACAATCTATGAATGCATGCATTTTATGACAAGACCAAGTAATTAAATATAACTTTAGAGATATTTAAAAGTAGTATATGTAGCATGATCCTAATTTTCCTTTAAGAAAAAATATGTATAAAGTATACATATATGAACATGTGAAAAGAGACACATTAAAAATAAAAATATTAATAGCTATTATTTTTGATTAATGACAATTTACAGATTTTCCCATAATAAACATATATTACTTTAGACCATTTGTATTAACTTTCGTTAAATAAGGTGACATAATAGAGCAGTACACAAGATGACTAACCTTTTCTGGTCTTCTAAAGACCACATTAGCGTGCTGAGGAATCTTCACCTCCAAAGAGTCCCTTTTTCAAAATGGAAATAAATGTTTTATGTTGCTAATGTGAAGAATAACAGTCATCCAGGATGTCAATCTAAAACAGAACTATAAGTTCTTATACTAAAAGATGTTAATGAAGAAAAAAGATTACAATTTAGTGAGTTTGAGACTTTCACACATAAATACAAACCAGATTTTCTAATCTCCATTTTAATTTTAATTAAGCTTATAATTAACATTCAAACTAGCTCAATAGTTCTAACTATACTGGGATATATTAGAGATCTGAGTTTATTTATGTGACTGGACTACCATATTAAAATGAGGAAAATATTCATGGTTTCCTCGGTACAATGAACATTAGCCATATAAGGTACCTTAACAAGAGTAGAACTCCTGCTTTTCCCAGAAGACGCCAAGCAACCCATTCTGCAGTTCTTTTATCAGCTTCATATGTAGCTTGTTGGCTAACAATAAAAACCAGTGGCAATCCCAGTTGGAAATGCACAGTTGAAACTTGTTGAGGATCTTCAGCAACTTCAGTCTTCATTTAGAGAAAAGAACAAAATGTCTTCATTCTATGACAATAATGTGCCAATATTTGGGCTTAAATTTTCCTAATTCTCATTTATAAAGTTATGATTAAAAAACAAGCCTGAATCAGGCATCAGTAACTCACACCTATAATCCTGGCTACTTGGGAGACTGAGACTGGGAGGATCATGGTTTCAGGTCAGCCTGAACAATGGTTTACAAGATGCTATTTCCAAAATAACCAGAATAAAAAGCGGACTGGAGGTGTGCTCAAGTGGTAGAATGCCTCCTTTCCAACTACAAAGCCCTTAGTTCAAACCACAGTACCACCAAAAATAAATAAATATGCCTGTGAAATAAGTCCATGATTAATAAAAATATCCTAACTTCTAAATTTTATTTTTGCAATTTACCTATGTAGTTTAAGCATTATAAAACTGATTTTATAAAGTGTTAAGCATAAAATTACAACTGTAAGAATAGACATATTATAAGGAATCAAAAATAAATGAGTGTGGTAATGATACAAATAATATCAAAGGAAACAGAATAGATTAAAATTAATTTTTCATATAAGAACTCAATGTATAATAAATGACACATTATAAAACAATGGGGAATATGTAAACTAAACAACATATTGAATATGTACAATTAATTTCAGTCCACCCAGAAATACCAGAAAAACTACAGAAGTGTAACATATTGAGTATGTACAATTAATTTTAGTCCACCCAGAAATCCCAGAAAAACTACAGGAGGAGAACTATAGACCAATCTCCTTAATGAACATTGATGCAAAAATCCTCAACAAAATAATGGCAAACCGAATTCAACAATACATCAAAAAGATTATTCACCACGACCAAGTAGGCTTCATCCCAAGAATGTAGGGGTGGTTGAACATACGAAAATCAATAAACGTAATAAACCACATTAACAAGGCAAAGAAAAAAACCACTTGATCATCTCAGTAGATGCAGAAAAAGCCTTTGATAAGATCAAACACCATTTCATGATAAAAGCTTTAAGAAAACTAGGAATAGAAGGAAAGTACCTTAACATTATAAAAGCTATATATGACAAAACTACAGCCAGCATTATACTTAACGGAGAAAAACTGAAACCATTCCCTCTAAAATCAGGAACAAGACAAGGATGCCCACTATCTCCACTCTTATTCAACATAGTACTGGAATTCCTAGCCAGAGCAATTAGGCAAGAAGAAGGAGTAAAAGGAATACAAATAGGTAAAGAAACTGTCAAAATATCCCTATTTGCAGATAACATGATCCTATACCTAAAGACCCAAAAAACTCTACTCAGAAGCTTCTAGACATCATCAAAGGCTGCAGCAAGTAGCAGGATAGAAAATCAACATAGAAAAATCATTAGCATTTCTATACACTAATAATGAACAAACTGAAAAAGAATGTATGAAAACAATTCCATTTACAATAGCCTCAAAAAAAATCAAATACCAAGGTGTAAACCTAACAAAAGATGTGAACGACCTCTACAAAGAAAACTATAAACTTCTGAAGGAAAGAGATTGAGGAAGACTATAGAAAGTGGAGAGATCTCCCATGCTCATGGATTGGTAGAATCAACATAGTAAAAATGTCTATACTCCCCAAAGTAATCTACATGTTTAATGCAATTCCCATCAAAATTCCAATGACATTCATTAAAGAGATTGAAAAATCTACTGTGAAATTTATATGGAAACACAAGAGGCCACGAATAGCCAAGGCAATACTCAGTCAAAAGAACAATGCTGGAGGTATCACAATACCTGACTTCAAACTATATTACAAAGCAATAACAATAAAAACAGCATGGTACTGGCACAAAAACAGACATGAAGACCAGTGGAACAGAATAGAGGACCCAGATATGAAGCCACACAACTATAACCAACTTGTCTTTGACAAAGGAGCTAAAAATATACGATGGAGAAATAGCAGCCTCTTCAACAAAAACTGCTGGGAAAACTGGTTAGCAGTCTGCAAAAAACTGAAACTAGATCCATGTATATCACCCTATACCAATATTAACTCAAAATGGATCAAGGATATTAATATCGGATCCCAAACTCTAAAGTTGATACAAGAAAGAGTAGGAAATACTCTGGAGTTAGTAGGTATAAGTAAGAACTTTTTTAATGGAACCCCAGCAGCACAGCAACTAAGAGACAGCATAGATAAATGGGACCTCATAAAACTAAAAAGCTTCTGTTCATCAAAAGAAATGGTCTCTAAACTGAAGAGAATACCCACAGAGTGGGAGAAAATATTTGCCAGCTACACATCAGAGGACTGATAACCAGAATATATAGGGAACTTAAAAAACTAAATTCTCCCAAAACTAATGAACCAATAAAGAAATGGGCAAGTGAACTAAACAGAACTTTCTCAAAAGAAGAAATTCAAATGGCCAAAAACACATGAAAAAATGCTCACCATCTCTAGCAATAAAGGAAATGCAAATTAAAACCACACTAAGATTCCACTTCACCTCGGTTAGAATAGCCATCATCAGCAACACCACCAACAACAGGTGCTGGCGAGGATGCGGGAAAAAGGAACCCTCTTACACTGTTGGTGGGAATGTAAACTAGTACAACCACTCTGGAAAAAAATTTGGAGGCTACTTAAAAAGCTAAACATTGATCTACCATTTGTTCCAGCAATACCACACTTGGGGATATACCCAAAAGACTGTGACTCAGATTACTCCAGAGGCACCTGCACACCCATGTTTATTGCGGCACTATTCACAATAGCCAAGTTATGGAAACAGCCAAGATGCCCCACTACTGACGAATGGATTAAGAAAATGTGGTATCTATACACAATGGAATTTTATGCAGCCATGAAGAAGAACAAAATGTTATCATTCGCTGGTAAATGGATGGAATTGGAGAACATCATTCTGAGTGAGGTTAGCCTGGCCCAAAAGACCAAAAATCGTATGTTCTCTCTCATATGTGGACATTAGATCAAGGGCAAACACAACAAGGGGATTGGACTTTGAGCACATGATAAAAGCGAGAGCATACAAGGGAGAGGTGAGGATAGGTAAGACACCTAAAAAATTAGCTAGCATTTGTTGCCCTCAATGCAGAGAAACTAAAGCAGATACCTTAAAAGCAACTGAGGCCAATAGGAAAAGGGGACCAGGAACTAGAGAAAAGGTTAGATCAAAAAGAATTAACCTAGAAGATAACACACATGCACAGGAAATCAATGCAAGTCAACTCCCTGTATAGCTATCCTTATCTCAACTAGAAAAATGCTTGTTCCTTCCTATTATTGCTTATACTCTCCCTTCAACAAAATTAGAGATAAGAGCAAAATAGTTTCTGCCAGGTATTGAGGGGGTGGGAGAGAGAGGGAGGGGGCGGAGTGGGTGGTAAGGGAGGGGGTGGGGGCAGCGGGGAGAAATGACCCAAGCATTGTATGCACATACGAATAATAAAACAATAAAAAAAAGAAATACACATACATGAAGAAAGGAACTTATATAGGAGGTTCTATAAAGCAAAATCCTAAACCAAGAGAGGGAAAGCTAAGAAACAACTCAGTTTTAACTGCATAATCCTAGAACTAACTGCTCAGTAGCTGTCAGTGTCTGGTACATATGGAATTGGAAGAGATATGATGGAAAGGAAATGACAGAAGGGCTCTAAAATGAGGAAGAATAGGTAAAGTTTTTGAAAAGTAGTTAAATTCCCCTCTCCAACTCCATGAGTTGGCTCCCCTCATGCCAGCAGGAATCTGTAGCATTTTAGGAACAGCTGAGAGTGTGACTACCAACCCAAAATCAGAGGGATTAAGTAAACAAATGTTGAGATGTCTTCCCAAGGCCCTGCCCATGTGGTTCCCAAAATGCTAGCAGCCAGACCTCTATCCTTGAGCAGAAAATTAGAAGATGTTTTCTGGGGAATCTCAAGTAACCCCTAAAAGCCTAAAGATACTGACAATGGAGTTGACAATCACAGGCAGATATCCAAGGATTAATAAACATCTCAGGAAAGTCTCTAACGTGAAATACAGTGACCAAAACAAACAGAAAAATCAATAACATGGTGGAAACACTGGCTAGGCAGAAAGAAGAAAGGTTCAAGAAATATTACTGATAGCGCCAAGCAGATGGAAAAACATATATCCACAAAGAACTGAAAAGTAAAGTTGGACCAATCTCCCAGAAAGCAGACAGAAGGTAGGAGAGAAAAGTCAAAGGACTACTTCAAGAGGTCCAACATCCAACAATGGAAGTCAAAGAAAGATGAAGGGAAAAAACAACGGAGAGAAATCCTCACTAAAATAGACAGACAAGCTTTCCCACAACTGAAGGACATTTGTTGCCAGATTGAAAGAGCACAATTAGCAATCAATGTGGTGGACAAAAGCAGATCCACAGGAAAATAAAGTCTTAAAGACTTTCTAATTATCGAAGTTTTTTTTTTAAGTTTCCAGAAAGAATCCTATGCTTACATATATTAGGCAGAACTCTAAGGAGGCCCCCAAGATTCTTGTCCCCTGGTGAATAAGTCTGATATAATTCCCTCCCCTCGAGTGTGGGCAGGTTCCACAGGATGACCGTTCCTTTAGTTAGGATACATTACTGCAGCACACTGAAGCCAGACTGCCCTTGCCCTGGTTTTGAAGGGATAAATGCAATGGTGTGAGAGGCCCAAGGAGCCAGAGACTGGAGAGTAATGTGGAGGAAATGAAAGCAACCCCTGGCCAACAGCCAGCAAGAAAATAGGGACCTGAGACCTAAAACCTAGACTTTTAAATTCTGCAAAAATCTTGATGACTGGGATAGCCTGAAAGAGTAGAAACGTCTAGACTCTTATTGTGTATCTGCAGCATTATTAGTTACTAATTACCAATAGTAAAGTATTATAAAGTGAAAAGGAGCAAACAATAAGCTTAGATATCTGGTAAGAGACCAAATCATGTATATTCTGCTAAAGAAACAGGTCTTTAATTGTGGAGAATGAAGCCATTTATGGATTGTATGAATTGTTGTGACATGATCATATATGTGTTTTAAAAACAGCACTATCAGCAATGGAGACTATGAACTTAAAGGGAGTAAAAATAGGAATACTGGAAAGATCAGCTGCTAAAAAGCTACTAAAATAGAACACAGGAGAGATGGTTAGGACCTGAAATAAAGCCAAATAATGATTTAAAAAGAAAGAAAGAATCCCAGGTACTTGAGAGGCTGAATCAGGAAAACTGCAAGTTCAAAGCAAGCCTGAGCAACATGGTGAGACCATATGGGAGGAGGGAGGGAGGGAAAGAGATAGGAGGGAAGAAGGGAGGGAGGAAGGAAGGGAGGGAGGGAGGGAGGTTATTGGTGAGGATTTGGAAAAAAAAAAAAAGAGAGAGAGCAAGAGAGGGAGAGAACCCTGCTGGTGGGAATGTATACTTGTGCAGCTGCTATAGAAAAAGCTAAATGAATAAAATTAGGTTTATTTCTATTCAAATGTCTTGGATATAAGACAGAGAGCTATCTCAATATACACAAAAAATGTTTCCAGAAAAGCCATAATAAAACATATATATTCTTATCTATTTTTAACATTTTACCAGATACTTGTACTTAAAGATTCATCTTGGGTGAACTGAGTTCACCATGGAGAAAACCATTACCATTCCAAGATGTCCTTGGTTTTAGCAACAGGACAATAATTGGACCATTGTCCCATCTGTGGTCATTGCTGGGAGCCTTAAGAATAGATCTAAGATAGCTTCATGTCTGGCAAAAACTCAATCTATTTGAGATTGAAACACACATAAAGATCCTAAACTCAAGGTTTATTTTCAGTTTAACAGGATTAAAATAACATGAATACAAGATACAGGTGTGTTACACCTATAATTAAGTGTCCAAGTACTATCTATCTAAAAAAAAAGATGAACATATAGGCAAAAAATCCAATTTGTATCAATTTTCACATGCCTAGAAATGAAATACTAGTATGTATATTTGCAATGATTAGAAACACAAAACAGTTTGCAACAAAAGTCTGAACCCTACTTTAAAAAAAAAAGTTTGAACTCAGGGTCTCACACTTGCTGGGCAAGGGTTCTCCCACTTTAGCCACTCCTCTAGCCCTTTTTGCTTTAGTTTATTTTTCAGACAGGATCTCATACTTTTGCCTGAACTGGCCTCAGACTATGATCCTCCTACCTTCACCTACTGAGTAGCTGGGATTACAGGCACATACCACCACAACCAGCTTGATTTGGAGATAGGGTCTTGCTAACTTTTGCCCAGACTAACCTCAACCCGCCATCCTCCTTTTTCTACCTCCCAAGTATCTGGGATTATAGACATGTACTAGCATACCTAGCCCCTTTCTATTTTTGTTTGTCTATAAATACGTTTAATGTAGACATACCAAATTATTTCAGATCCTGAACCCATGAACTCAGGTTAGTTTACAAAGCATTTTACTAACCATAAAAAAACAACAGGACTGAACCACAAGTTTGGTCCAAGTTATAATCCTACTCCCTATACTAATAGTGTAAATCCTGAGAATTCTTAATAATACCCAACTATCTGAAGAGAAGGAAATGAGGCTTGAGAAAAATGATGAAGAACTGTGCCGTGAACTGTCTTCTCCCTCTTCCCATCCCTCAAATGGGACATCAAGACAAATTCAGAGGATATTTTTCCCATGGAAATAAGATACATGTCAACCTCCCTTGTGAAAGGAAAGGAAAACTATCTATCAACTTCTTTCTTTTAAAAAAAAATTCTTTGCAGCCAAGATCCAACCAAAGAAAAAGTTGCTTAAAATTAAGAACTAACGAATTAAGCCAGTAAAAATGTGGCTGGCAAGCTCTGAATCTATTTAGATGTAGAAGCAAGGCTTTTTAAAAAGTGAGAATTATGGTTACAGAACAGAATATAAATATTATAGATATTAATGGTATAAAAATAACAGACAGGATCTCATACTTTTGCCTGAACTGGCCTCAGACTATGATCCTCCTACCTTCGCCTACTGAAAGGCAAGAGGAACAGAAATAAAAATAAATATATGAAGTTAATTTTCTCATCTTTCAAAGATAAATTAGTTGTACCTAAAATGGAAACATGAAGTTTTAAATTTTTGTTAAAGTTCATAATGTTTTTCATAATCATTTTCAACATTTCAGACAATATTTCCTAAAAAGCTCTTGATGCTAGTGAAACATTTATCAAAGGCCCCTCTAGATTCTCATCGGTTTCTTTTTCTTCTGTTAAACTCAAGTAAGATCAAATACCATACTTCTTATTGGAGGGTAGCTCTCACTTTGATCTGTCATCGAGCCATTCATCCTCTGATCTGACTGCACCTCTCTGGATGCAGAATGACTGATGTGCTCTAGCAGTTCATTTCTGAGGGAGGAGACTGTGACGTCTTGAAACTTTTCTTTACACCTTGCTACGCTGTTTGGATTCTTTGTAACACACACGCACCATACTAGTTTTTTGTTTTTCTTTTTTTACAAAAGATGTACCGAGTAAGGAGATCTACTGACGGTTTTATCCATGCTCAGAAAGCTCTTTAGAAAGCTTGATGACCACTGTCACCTATGAGTCTCTACAAAATTCCTTGAGGTTAATGTCAAGAAAAAGTGGGGCACAATTAAAACACTGATCAGTATTTGTGAACATTATTTGATTTTTAATTTCTTTTTTTTGCCTCTCATGGGCATAATGTAATGTTATCTATCTAGTAGCTGCTCCACACCTGCTTTGCAACAAATCAAAACATTCCAGGCCAAAAAACTCATAAAACAATGATCAAAACATTCATAAAAGAGGTCTTTTTTCTTTTCTTTTCTATTCCTTTTCTTGCAGTACTGGGGCTTGAAGTGAGGGTCTCACACTTGCTAGGCAAGAGCTCTACCACTTGAGTCACTTCATCAGCCAAAAGAGGTCTTTTCTTAACTATGTTGTGGTCTTTGTGATCTTGTGAGCATTCACCAAGTCCCAGAGTTCACTTGGACTTCCAAAAAATGTTTTCACTTCTACAATGTAATATTTAGTTTCCAAAGATCATTAATAGAAAAAAGGATTATACCCAAGGAAAAGGGAAGCGATATAACTCATACAAGTAAAATATGTATCTGTCAGTCAAAACTTAACAGACTTTACACACAAATTTTCTTCTTCATTCAAACAAGGCACATACCAGCAGAGGGGCTTTCATAGTCTTAACAAACACATGAATGTTCAGTGTGGTCAATGGCCGATCCATTAGTGTTCTTCTGCATTGCTGGGTCAGATCCAAGGCTAGCTTACAATGAAAAAAGTAGAGATGTGCATGTTCTATTTTCTCCGAGCTGCAATCAAAAATTAGGGATATCCACTTAATGAAATTCAATTTGTGAGACTTCTACCATCCAAAAAGATGTAATAACAAATCTCTGCTTAAGTGTCATACTTTTGAATTACTGTTTTCAGAAAAGCTTAAAAGAGTGTAACATTAGAATAAAATGAACTTGGGCAAAAAAAAAAAGAGGATATAAGATGTTAAAAAAAATTACCTTAGGCCAGGCAGGGTGCTACATACCTATAATCCCAGCTACATGGGATGTGGCAATCAGGAGGACTGTGGTTGGAGACCAGCCCAGGCAAAAAGTTCATCCAACAGCCATTGACTACAACAAGCCAGGCCTGGTGGTGTATGTCTATAACTCAGCTATGTAGGAGGCATAGGTAAGAGGATCATGGTCTGAGCCTAGCCCCAGGCAAAAACATGAGGCTTTATCTGAAGAATAGCCAAAGAAAAAAAGGGCTAGGGAGCGAGGCTCAAGTGGTAAAGTACCTGACTAGCAAGCACTGGGCCTTGAGTTCAAACTTCAGTGATATTAAAAAAGAAAGAAAGGTTACCCTAACATTTGAACAAACCACATGGCTTATATAGGCAATTTTTTCCCTGAATTCTTCTAGATGGTAGCCTTGAAATTAGGATATAGGTAGGCCTACATAACTTTGTTTCAATAAAAGACTGTTACCTAGTGAAAAATGAGATTATCTTCAAATTACTAGCTTTTCTAGAGCTATGGTGAATGAAGCTTTGTAACACAAATTTTCTAGGTTTAATTTAAACCCAAAGCTGTTTTGAATAAACTTTAGCCAAAACATGCCTTAAGATAGAAACCATGTGAATTTGTGGGAGTTTGTAAAGTTTATATCTGAAATCTCACAAAATTTAGCAAATATGGCTTATAATTCAAGTTTTGGCATTCCTTTCAATATGGGAATTCAAAGATAAACTTATAGTGGGGATAAGTTCTGCCAAAATTAAAATAGCATTTTAAAAATCACCATATAGCATTAGTAGAGTTTGGCCAAACACTACAAATTCTTGTTTTAAATGGTTATTTTAAAGTCTTTTTTTTAAACCTAACAAAAGATGTTGAAAGATCCTCTACAAGGAAACTATACACTTCTGAAGAAAGAGATTGAGGAAGACTATAGAAAGTGGAGAGATTCTCCATGCTCATGGATTGGTAGAATCAACATAGTAAAAATGTCGATACTCCCAAAGTAATCTACATTTTAATGCAATTCCCATCAAAATTCCAATGACATTCATTAAAGAGATTGAAAAATCTACTGTTAAATTTATATGGAAACACAAGAGGCCACGAATAGCCAAGGCAATACTCAGTCAAAGAACAATGCAGGAGGTATCACAATACCTGACTTCAAACTATATTACAAAGCAATAACAATAAAAACAGCATGGTACTGGCACAAAAACAGACATGAAGACCAGTGGAACAGAATAGAGGATCCAGATATGAAGCCACACAACTATAGCAACTTATCTTTGACAAAGGAGCTAAAAATATACGATGGAGAAATAGCAGCCTCTTCAACAAAAACTGCTGGGAAAACTGGTTAGCAGTCTGCAAAAAACTGAAACTAGATCCATGTATATCACCCTATACCAAGATTAACTCAAAATGGATCAAGGATCTTAATATCAGACCCCAAACTCTTAAGTTGATACAAGAAAGAGTAGGAAATACTCTGGAGTTAGTAGGTATAGGTAAGACTTTCTCAATGAAACCCCAGCAGCACAGCAACTAAGAGATAGCATAGATAAATGGGACCTCATAAAACTAAAAAGCTTCTGTTCATCAAAAGAAATGGTCTCTAAACTGAAGAGAACACCCACAGAGTGGGAGAAAATATTTGCCAATATACATCAGACAAAGGACTGATAACCAGAATATACAGGGAACTTAAAAAACTAAATTCTCCCAAAACTAATGAACCAATAAAGAAATGGGCATGTGAACTAAACAGAACTTTCTCAAAAGAAGAAATTCAAATGGCCAAAAAACACATGAAAAAATGCTCACCATCTCTAGCAATAAAGGAAATGCAAATTAAAACCACACTAAGATTCCACCTCACCCCTGTTAGAATAGCCATCATCAGCAACACCACCACCAACAGGTGTTGGCGAGGATGCGGGGAAAAAGGAACCCTTTACACTGTTGGTGGGAATGTAGACTAGTACAACCACTCTGGAAAAAAATTTGGAGGCTACTTAAAAAGCTGGACATCGATCTACCATTTGATCCAGCAATACCACTCTTGGGGATATACCCAAAAGACTGTTACTCCAGAGGCACCTGCACATCCATGTTTATTGCGGCACTATTCACAATAGCCAAGTTATGGAAACAGCCAAGATGCCCCCAGCACTGACGAATGGATTAAGAAAATGTGGTATCTATACACAATGGAATTTATGCAGCCATGAAGAAGAACGAAATGTTATCATTCGCTGGTAAATGGATGGAATTGGAGAACATCATTCTGAGTGAGGTTAGCCTGGCCAAAAGACCAAAAATCGTATGTTCTCCCTCATATGTGGACATTAGATCAAGGGCAAACACAACAAGGGATTGGACTATGAGCACATGATAAAAGCGAGAGCACACAAGGGAGGGGTGAGGATAGGTAAGACACCTAAAAAACTAGCTAGCATTTGTTGCCCTTAACGCAGAGAAACTAAAGCAGATACCTTAAAGCAACTGAGGCCAATAGGAAAAGGGGAACAGGTACTAGAGAAAAGGTTAGATCAAAAAGAATTAACCTAGAAGGTAACACCCACACACAGGAAATCAATGTGAGTCAATGCCCTGTATAGCTATCCTTATCTCAACCAGCAAAAACCCTTGTTCCTTCCTATTATTGCTTATACTCTCTCTACAACAAAATTAGAATAAGGGCAAAATAGTTTCTGCTGGGTATTGAGGGGGGGGGGAGGGGGCGGGTGGTGGTAAGGGAGGGGGTGGGGGCAGGGGGGAGAAATGAACCAAGCCTTGTATGCACATATGAATAATAAAAGAAAAATGAAAAAAAAAAAAATACATGAAATAAATTCTTTTTTTTT